GCGCTCACACATTTTTTAGAGGTTTTCTTTTTTTATTGCAAGAATCAATCTGGAACTCTTGACTACGTGTATTTGTTAACTTCTGAATACACAAATTTAGACCTGCTGCCAAACTTTTTCGAATTTTGTGGATCCATTGAGATAATATGGGTTAAAAATGCAACCATATTCTGTAGTTTACGAGGTACTGCGTAGTTGTATTACAAAACAATCCTACTCGGTTCTTTACAACAAGGTAACATCAACTTTACGAATTTTTACACAATATATCACAGTGTGTTAAATGTTTGCAGAAACTAAAATTGAATTACTAAATTGTACTTTAACTTGGTAGATAGCTAAAAGTAATCCTCACCTGTACATTGGAAAGTGCAGGTTTCGAAGACCAGTGATTTACCCTTACAGGAAAATCCTATTAATCATAGTACGGTATCATCTGCGTAGTTGCTGTGACACTTTTCGCCTTATCCTGTCGTTAATTTAACGACTGCGTTGAGAATTTATTGTAATCTAAAACTGTCAAAATGGACAGAAGAATTCACAAAACTACACCTATTGTCATTGGATCTTCATATCCAGGCATGCAAGCACACATGAACCAATGTTTCAGCATTAAAAAATAATGCTTTTGTTAGATTCGGGAAAGAGTTTTCAAATTTTGCTTATATGGTGATGGGAGTTCTGACAAATGGTAAAAAAGGAACGTATTGTTTTATAGAACATGTATGATTTTTGCTTCTCAGTTAGCTAGAAGTCGATGCACACTCAAGTTTATAAAACTTTTCGTTATACAAGTTCAAACAAAAATACAACTCCATAATACAATCATTTGGGATAAATTTTTTTTAAAGAAAGTTGTTTGATTTTCAAAGGAACAGTTATCGGAGAAATGGGAGGCAGAGAGAACACTTTCGTTAAACCCAAAGCGTGCCCTTTTAGTTCTGTTTGCTAAATGTAGTTTCACGTTGCTCTTCTCATATCTCTATGCGAATTGATGAGAAATTCTGATCATGCATGTTTCCAAATTTGTACGTCGAACATTTTCTACCCTTCTAGCCTAGTGGCCCGTTGCACAGTTCTCCGCATCCATAAATGATTGACAAACAGCCGAGAAGGAAGCAGAGTTGATTCCGAGGAAGGCTGGCGGGCAGAAATTGTCGTTCTGTGCGACCGTCGTCCTTTCCTGACTTGTTCTGTGTCCTTTGCCCGATTCTTCCAAATACAGCGAGAGAGAGAGGAGAGAGAGAGAACCGCATTTCTCCATTGCGCCACGCGGTCCAATCATATTTTCACTGATTCGCTATTCCATGTGTAACCTTATTACAACTGGCTCGTTTCTTCTTCTATCACCGCGCATGCTCCGGGCGC